TTTTTCGAGGCGAGGACAAACGCTCGTTCGTACAACGAGCGCGCGCTCTCAGCGTCGAGACCGTTAATTACGAATATTTTAACAGAGAACCGAAATAATATATAAAAGAGAAAAATACCCCCACCCCTTCCCCACCTCTTTTCCCCAGGTAGTGGTTCGCCGCGTGTAGCGATAATTGAAGGAAATCAATTAGCGGCACATGCCGACGCAAATTGTCGGCGATGCGGCAAGAGGGCGGTTAGCGCGACGGGAGCCCGCAGGAAGTGGTTGGCGACACGTGCACTTCTCATTTGTCGCGTCTTCCGGAATATTTTTCGCAAGTGACTTCATGAAATTTCATAATGTCGAAGCAAGAAAGAACTCAGTGTTGTAGACGACATAAAGATACTCAAAGGGAAAAACACGAGCTCGACACTATCTATATGTATATAAATGCATACGTGAATCTATATACATATACGTATATATACGTATAATATATTTATATTCTATATTTGTATGGAGTGTCCAAAAGCCAGCTTTAGACACACAATATATCTCGTTGGCATTAAATATCGAAGACAGAGAGAGAAAAACTTAAGTAATTTTGAAAGAGAATTCAAGAGATTTCAAGTAGACGCGTAGAAAAAAAGTATCATTTAAAACGCTACGACGTACAGAACACTTGTCAACGGTAAAGAAGCGTAGACATGGAGTAATCAGCTGCTTTCGGACACTCTGTATTTGATAAGTACCTAATGATCCATTATAGATTACGCCAGACGATATATACGTTATATTGTTTTGTATCTTACCTATTTGGTAACGCCATAGCATTTGATATTAATATCGATATATTTTGTGAGAGCCGCATTACACCTTATAGTTTTTTGTAATAGACCAAACAGATATACATATCGGAGTCTATCTATCTATCTCTACATATCTAGGTAATTAGGTAAACATTTGTGTTGTTACCAGACCTTAGACCATTATTGAGACTTCTAGGCGTTCTAGGTTCGATTAGTTAGAGCGAGTGAGTTTTGGGCGAATTAATATACTACTGTACACGTTCCTACCGTTGAGACTACTAGTGGACTATAGCTTTTGGGAAGTCACTATGATATCGTTAGCTTAGATTTAATACTTTAGGCGCTCGTCCTCGCGGAAGACGGTGCCGCTCGCTTTTCCGATCGTCGTCGAGGCAATCGCTCGCGCACGGGCAAGGCAAAATTTGGCCTCCGTCGTAACATTCCCACTCGCGTGTGCTTCCGCGAAATAATTCGCGGGGGAAGCGAGATGCGAGATAAAGCGCGGTGCTCGACGTCTTCCGCGAAGAATACGCATTACCAGCGGCTTCAAAGAGAACCTATTATATTGTACCTATTACTTAACGAGCTACGTTACATAGTTACATTTATATTACGTTACACGTAATATTATACCTCTCTATATAGGATACTAAATATATATCGTGCGTATACCTATCTATACCTAATGCCTCACAGCTCCCGTATATATCCTACTCATATACTACTTGTTACATAGTACTTAACTCTTCTTAAGCCGCATAGCACCGTTTATCTTGATAATAATGCGTGAAACGTGTGTCCTAGAAAGTACGTACTTAGCCAAAGAGGCGCAACACTATCGTGTTTCGTAAGTAGACTAGACCTTGAAGGTGCGGTTTTGTTGGTCTTGCGACACTTGGCTGGGCCGGATTTTCGGTTTCATGGGAATATAGAGTATCCGACCATGTCTTACGTAATTTGTAACGGGGGCGCAGAACGATTCCAAGGGATGCATCCCCGATACATGGCCCCGCGAATGTTCCCCTCCTCTGAGAGACGGGGAGACGCACACGTTTACGAGGGGGAAGCATAAAATTCTAGTGAGAGTAGCTCAATGAATTCCACGTTGCCGAAGCCATCGGTGTGACGTAAACGTTAATCGACTGGCAACTCGATCGTAAACTCGAGCTGAGACAGGCTTTATGCGCACCTCGGAACTGCGAAAGACATATTAATGTTAATACGTCGTACGTAAACGTCTGCTCTATGTGAGATCGATATGTTGCATCTGAGAAAGTACAGACTGTATGTGTAGATGCCATATAGAAAAAGCACGCGCGTAATTCGCGCAAGAATAATTACATAGTACCGTCGAGATCTATTCACGTGTTTCGAAGTGACAGATGTATATGTCTAATGCTGCAAACGATTCCATTGAGATTAATGCGAGATAGTGCTCGACATATGTGCAAATCTTATTGTAGCTCAGAAGAGTTTAGAAAGCCATTAAGACAGAGAAAAAAAATGAGTGCAAAACGATAGTAAAATACCATTGAGCGCTTGACGTAATCAAAACCAGCCCGGTAGAGAGAACTTTAGGTACGGAATTACTAATACTATTAATATGTATCAGTGTATTTTAATGGCTAGAATAAACGCTCTTATATACTTTTTTCCATCTGCGTAATATTGTGAGAGCAACGTCGATATGGACACTAGTATAGTGAGTCCAGTAGTGTAGTATTATTGTGGTCGGTGTTTTTTTCAATATTGTATCGTCAATATAAATGTGGTAGCTGGTGCCGGTATTATGCCACACGCGCACACGTGACAAAAGTTTTAACGGAGCACGCTTAAAATACGTGTGTATTATCCAATCGTCCCGCAGATCTGCCAATATATGCGGAAAACTATTCGGATGGTGGCATATTACCGACCCTTATAGTCGATATCTAATAAGCTATATAGAGAGCCTAGCAAATATTACTTAACGGTAAATAATTAACCAATACCTTTGGCGGCTACAATAACCATAGTTCATAGGAGGGTTTATTTTGTCGTAGAATTGGAAACACCTCGGCCGCGCGTAGTTACTTAGTACCTTGTCACACAGTTTAGAAAATGCGCTATATAGTCGATGCGATATACATATATACATAGTGAGAATCTTAGTTGTGTGGTCTTTTGGATTAGTATCGAATTATGAAATTTCATGAATGCCTTGATCTTTTATTCTGTTTCTTTCATTCTTTCTCTCTCTCTCTCTCTCTCTCTCTCTCTCTCTCTCTCTCTCTCTCTCTCTCTTTCTCTTTCTTTCTCATTTTCTCACACTCTCTGATTAACCTAGAAAGCTTCTAATCCTGTTTCTGATCTTTTTCTCTTTTTACGTTCTCTTTTATCGTTTGGACCTAGTCATCCGTTACACTTTTAAATCCCGACGAATTTCTGCAACGCTTCGCTTCATACTTAACTTATCTCCGTGTACATACTCTTAAATGTTTACGCCTACCTTCGCCTGCTCGAAGAAAAATATTGGTCTCGCGACGTGTAAAACTTGGCGAAAATAATTGACATGTGGAAACTTCAACCTCTGACACGCAGTTTACTTCGTAAGTTTTCCGAACGATCGATATCTTTCTTCGTACGTAGTTGCAGAAATTTCGATGGAGACTTGAAGTCGTTGCACTAACGAACATGTAATATAAATAAAGGGAAAAGAGTCGAAGAGAAAAAAGAATTGATAACGATGAGCAAAAAAAAATATATATTCGCTATACATCAGCCTACTTTGAAACTATATTTTAATCGAGTTTGTTTTTCCTTATAGATTTTATGTGGTCTCTGGGAGCATTACCTGATGGTGAGTATGTGAAATATGTACTGGACTAGTAAAGCATTATCGATATCTACTGACCTCTATTATAGACATAACTAAAGTAATAATGACGCTATATGGCTCGACAGCCTTGATACATAATTGCCTATTTCACCTATTTGCTTTATCATATATTCTGTAGCATATATCTTTTAGTTGACTGATGCGAATCGTATGTAAATATTAGAATTTGCCGGATTAGTTACTAACCTCTCTCATTAGCTTTTGCATTGATGGAAATTTAATCTAATTAGCAGAATAGATACGGATATAATTGACAGATATAACTTGATAGGTTTAACTTGGCAATTAACAGAGTAAATAAGTTTCATCGTTTTCTGTATTTTCACTGAATTACCATCATCGATTTATTGAAATAATTTGCGAAATATTAAGAAAGTTTTTCAATAATTTCAGTTCTTTAATAACTTTATAGGTTTTCCTATAAAAATGAGATAAGGCTCTTTTCTAACAGGCTCTTTCAAACTTTTTAATACGAAATTGAGTTGAATGCAGTAATAGATATTCTTGCATGTTTTTCCACTACCAATTTCCGCTTTTTAGCAAAAGGTACATTTTGATCTTTTCAAATATCTCCATTTCTTCGTATTTCTTTAAACTCCGGATATAAATTACAACAAATATCGCGTCAACCGTTAAAGAGAGAAATCATAGAAATCAAAAGTGGATTCAAAAGCTATATACAAGAAATCGAGTTGCGTTCAGTTCTAACAAACAGTGCGATAAAAGGCTGAAAAATATCTTGCGCTTATCAGCATCGGCGAACGCGTTGCCGCGAATAATTACGCCTATCTCAAACGCCGAGAGGACCAGCGCACGTAGGAAGTAACGCGGAGAGTGTAACGGAAATTTTCGTTGTGTGTTTGCAGGTTTCCCAGCGGCAGCGTACGCGGCATACGCGGCGGGCCGCGGCTATTCTGGGTACCCTAGTTTCGGATTACCCTACCCGACAGGTAACCACCTTAGCCTTAACCACCTTAACCACCACAATGCGGCCCACATCGCGCCCCTGAACTTGAACTTGAACCTCATACAGGCGCAGCCCGCGCCCCATCACAATCCGCCCACCCCGACACCGCTCTTTTACCATCCCAATCTGGACCTCTACAATGCCATGCCTCTGTGAACTAACTCACTAATTAATGATATCGATAACGAGCTGTGCGCGCACTCTAACCCATCGCTATACGCTAACTGACTGTGCTGTCGCTTGGTCCATCCAATCCCATCGCGGCGAGAGAGAGCGTGTTGCAACGCGATGATCACGAGGTGAGAGACAGCCCCGTGTTCTCGAGGGGTGATTCGATACGAGAGCACGGCGGGGACACGCGTGCAATGCGTACGCGGCGATTCTCAAGGATCCTCGAGGATCCCCCGCAGAGGCGTACATTGAACTTTCGCGAGGGATAAAGCGACTCTCCGTTCCGGGACGGCGAATTCTCCAATTGGACAACGCCCGGAACGCAAGCAGGTTCCGCCGAACGCGCGTTGCTATTTGTACGAGGAATAACGGGACGACGAGAGATTCTTTAAAGCACGGATGATTCCGCTTTAAAGCAGGGAGAGTTCCGATTTCGCTAACTTTTCCGCCGCTCTCGACAGCGCGCGGGAGAGCCGCGATAGTGGAAACGGGGAAAATGCTTTGCCGTGAAAAACTTCGCCCAAAGAGAGTTACAGGATATTTAGGGATAAATTATTTATGTCTAGCAGTGTCGAGCTGACGGCTTGCTCGGCTGCGATATCGATTTTACTTCTCTATGAAAAAGTTTGTATCTCATTCGACACTTGTCGCGGTGTTGGTTTCGCGTATTTTTTTTTTTTCTTTTAATAACGAGAACACCGTCGAACAGCAGTCAACGAGTCTCTTACAAATTAGGTTACTGTATCGAAGTTACTCTATCATTTTCAGGCTTTAAAGATACTGATAAGAAAAAAATTTATTAGTACACACCGAGCAACACTTTGTTCTAGTCTATCGGCACATTAATTCGCAGGACAGATTTCACGGACGATTACTTCATTATTTTTCTACTGTATTTTGAAATATTTTTTTTAAGGAACAATGGATTCTCCAGAGGATATAAATAATCTATTCTCTTTCTCGTTCTGCGGTAGACTATAAATCACCGAGTGTTTGCGAAAAAGTGTGTTGCGCTACCCTGGATTCGGAATTTATTGAGCTGTTATAGCTACGATGCACTATTGATTCTGCCTAGCCGTGGTTATCATTTTTAAAGAATTCGAAATCTCAAAAATATCACCGTGCATGTACGAACGAGAATACGGGGGGCGGGGTGAAAAAAAAAGCATGCATAGATTACGCCGAGTGCAAAATGCCTCGCGGAAGTATTCGAACGATTTTATTCAATTTAATATAGGCGTATTACCGTTTGAATACTTTGGTAAGCCACTATATGTGAAATCAATCATTCCTTTCAATAACGAATATATCCCAATAGCAATCTCAATAAAAGCAAATATCCAATCAATGTCCGAATTCATCGGTAAATACCACTAAATATTGAAATAGCCGATAAAAGTTATCAGGGAATACTTTTACTTTTAAAGCGTTTATTAGCCAAAACTGCGTAGGGTGAGCCGTACAGTAAAACCAATATTATATATTTTGTGAATACACATCGATATTTTTAAAATCGATGTCACCAAAATTGAGTTCAAACTGTTCAAAGCTGTTTGCCACGGTCAACGGATCGTGAAATCGATCGCGATATAAAATGTGTGTAGATAGAGCGGGGTAAAATGTCATTGTTGATATCTGGCAGGGGTAACAAGTACGTATCGATTGACAATGATACGCGAGGGACCGCATCGCGGTCCACTTTGACACACACGCGCGCGCGCGCGCGCGTACAAAACGTACACGCATTCAGCTATTGGCATACACGTACGAGTGCAGCGATTAATAGGGTACCTACGGTAAATGAGCACGTCTGTCTTCCGACATCGACCCGTTGAAATCGGAGTGGATGATAGCTCGGGCAGACCTTTCGAAGTCGAGCCTTCTTCATGACGTATTCGCGAAATGAAAATCGCGGATTGCACTTGAATACGTTCAAGGGAAATGCATCTCTCTTTTTTTTTATCGCAAACTCGATACCGCGATTGCCCATCGTCATCGCTCGATGAACAACATAATTGAAGGACAGGAAATCGTTAGTTCGCCCCCCCGTGAATTATCACTTACCCATCCGCTTCGATTTGTTTCCGTGGACTTCGATTTTAACAATATCAAATTGTTACCTGCATTTTTACTGATATTTATTTGTTATTACTTCGTAAATTTTATTATTCGATTTTGTTATATAAAATTTGAAACGAGGCAGCGGTACAAATATATCGAATGTAACAAATATGCGTTCAATAATACTGGAACTTCGCTGCGCGGCTAAACCGAAGAGTTAAAATGAAAACCAGCATATAAAACCATATAAAAACCACGCTTTTATAAAAAAGTAACTAAAAAAATCCTATTTTCTCGTTTTTTTTATTATCTTTTCGAAGTTGGTGATAAAAAATATTAAAAAAGAATCGTTCTTAAAAACTGGTTTTACTAACTATTGCGTCTTAGATTAATGTTTATTCGGAAAATTAAAAAGTTATTGTTATCCTCCTTGTTTCGAATTTCTTTTCTGTATAGATAATTTTTTCAACAGCTTCTTTTATTGTGCGATTTTTCTTGTCTCTTCTAGTATTAATTATCACTCTTCTGCATTACGCTTGCTCGCCTTCGTCACTTCTCGCCTGGTAAATGTACGCACGTTTTGTTTCACGTGTTCCGCGAGAGGCGATTGCGATCGAAACTACGCACCCTTTCATCCCACGTAATTTTAACCCTCGCACGCGGCTCGCCGCTCCTCCATGTCAAGCGTGTAAAGCAGTAATAACGCGTCACGTCGTTAGCATCGGACAAACTGCGACCGGTGCCCCGTCGCGATCGAGATTAATTAGCGCCGGAGAGATAGTGTCGTCCAATGACGTCGCTTCGGATTCACTTCGCAGAATCCTTTAAAAACGAGCGAAATGCGATCTCCGTTGTCCCGAGGAATTGAAATCTACGTTCCTACGTATATCGATTCTTAGAACAATACGTGGGTGGGAACCGAAAACTCATAAATAATGTATAATGTTTTTCGGACGTTGGCCCATCCCTCAAAAAGCCTGTCCTCCCCCCCCGTTCCTCTTACCATCTCCACCCACGATCCGATCTCCGCTTTTCTCCAGGGATATACTCGATGCTCCCCCCGAATCGTTTCCAATTTTCCTCGACACCCGCTACTTAACGCATTTGAATAACTTTTCGGGATCACCCCCCCGCGGCTACCTTTCCACCCTTCTACGCTCCGTTCCCGATCTCCCAGCCTGGCTTGTGTCTTATTGCGTACAGTTCACGAGGCATGGCGGTAGAAGGAAAAGTGGATATCATCCGCGATGATTGATCGCCATAAAGAAGAACTCTTCACCACCACCCTCCCCCACCCCCCCACACCCCCGACCCGCCTCCCTCAATGTATTCCCAATGTCCGAAAAACATTCGCCGGTTAAGCCACCCTCTTTGCAAACACGGGAAGGGGGCGATCTTCCGCACAGAAACGAATCCCAATGTGGGGTAGGAAAGATATTTCGGGGTAGAGGGTGGCGACGTAGACTCGCGGTATATTCGCTTCGCGGAGAACTTGTTCGGGGAAAAGTCTTCTGCCCGAACGTTTCCCGAACTGCAAATATTCCGCTGCTTCGAGAGAAGTCAAACGGCAGCCGTGATTTAACGATCGTCGCTAGACATTCACCTTCGTGTCACGAAACGAAAGCGCCGAGTGGGATCGTTTTACGATGCGAACTGAATTTGAACCGTCTCGCGTATTTCACGTATATTGGTAAATAGGGACAAATCTTACGGTAACTTGCGAAGGGGCAGACACGCGAAAGATGTTCTTACGCAAGCCGAATCATTTCCCATCGTGTCACATGAGATGTGTTGCGTCCCGCGTTATTTTCACGAGATCTTTTTTTCTTATTTCCAAACTCAAATATCTTTCGGTTGAAGACTCGTTTTATATGAAGTGAAAAATAAAATGTTGTATCTGTTTTAGTGCCGTGGCATTTTGAACTTTACAATCCATCGCCTGAAAAGGACCCATGGTCGAAACGTAGCGATTCTTAAACGTAAAAATTGCCAGATACGGACGACCAAATTTGATGTTGTTTACAATTCATGTTTCATAGAAAATACATGCTTCGAATGTGTTGTACGTATGTACGCTTCAGAGAGATAGATTGCATGAATGAATAGTGTATTAACGGTTAATGATGCTTACAGATACACGATATTGTGTGACATTGTTATAATCATTAACTAAATTCCGAATGGTTACACCGAAATTACGAGTAAATTGTCATAAATCTGATCCTCTAGTTTGCCCCTTCGAGTCATGTTTTTCGATTCAAGATGGATGAGATGTTTAGTGCGTCAGCATAACATTATGCAGCAAATTCGCTCTGGTTACGCTGCAAGTTTCCGTAGAGCGACGTAGTCTATTTGTTAGATATTGACGTGAAATCAGCGAGTTTCAATTACGCTTTAATCAACGAAAATACGCTTTCATTCACAGGTTCATCTATTAGAGAACATTTATATGAAACGTCATCCAGAGATACAAAAATTGATCCACGATTACTTCCATACAAATTTTTCAGTGTTTGAGATTGCGTAACAGTTTTATGTTACAAATTCTACGGTTGAAATATTTTTTGTCTTTCTACCATTTTTGTTCTATCGATGTTAAAATTTTCTTAAGGTAGCGAATAATTTCGATAAATGTAGACTATTTCTCTCTACGCAGCCAAGAATTTGAATGAACGACAGGCACCGCTTTCGCAGTTTGTCCGATGATTAGACATTTACTAAAGCTCGAATCAATTTATCATCTTAGTCTGA